AAAACAATGATTAATATTATTTTCTGTCAACCTGTTTTAACAAGATTCTCAGTTAATAATTCACATATTATAGTTTGATTACAATCACATTTGTTTTGAGATTTTGTTTTTACCTCTTTTGATTCCAAGTGACAGTCTGATCTTCTTGACCTTTGAAAACTTGGAATATCGATTTCTAAAATATAGAAAACATATTTAAATGTAAGTTTTTGGTAAAACTTTATGAAAATATTCATAGTATTCTTAGTACACACTTCACATCTTAGTTGTTTGACTTACAAGTGTGCCTCATTTGCGTGAAAGATTAGATTTGCCTATTACATGAGAGAAATAACAATATCTTTCAGAGATGACTGCCTTTGGAAGGCTAAACACTTTGGGACAGATGAGTTACTCCTTTCTTTGATGTTTTCAGGATTAGGCTGACATATTTTATTGTTGAAATTATCCCATAGAATATATACTTTTAACCTCCAACCCTGTAACTCTCTATTATTTTTAACTAGAAAAATAATTTGGACTTTATTTGACTCTAGTTATTTGCTTACTACATTCCCCTACTTGAGAACTCTGCCAAAATACTTAAGAATCATTCAAATGTGCCTAGTTTACCATTGTATATCTGGATTTTTATCCTTCCCTGTTATGTCACCATTAGCAGCACAAGCAGCAGAGAAGAAGGAGGAAAATGAATATGATGGGTATATTTTCCTGATCATGTATCCATGAATTCATGAAGAGGTTGCCTCAGACCTGTGGTGTTTAACACCTTGCTCTGCCCTACACCGTAATGACACTAGCTGATATAATTCATCATACAATTGCCTTACACAAATGCTAGAATTTCCCCTTTAAATTTTATTCCAAATCTATTTTTTACCAACTGCACCATCCCCACTATAATTTAAATGTATTATTTTCTCATATGGATTAAAACAAGAGTTTAGTACTTCTTCCCACCATGCACTATTTTTACATGGAACAGCTAGTGAAATTCATTTAAAACAACAAGAAACATAATTTATTATACTGCTCAAAATATTCTAAATGTTTCTCATAACACTTGGAATAAAATAAAATTTAAAGTTCCCACGATGCTTGACACAGACTGCTTAATTGCCTGTGGCTCCTTCTAATTCTAATGGCCATACCAAACAAATGTTACCTCAAATGTGTATGTTTATCATTTTCTATTCTGACTACAAGTAATTCGTCACCATGGCATTTTTCAAGTCCAGAAACATTATTTAACATTTTCAGACAAACCATATTCAGTCCATCGTACTAGAAATATCGTCACCCTAGATACATGGCTGTATATGTCTCTTAATAGTCATCTGTCTACTTAAATGTCATAGCAATTATAGTCATACCAATTTTGAAACAAAGCCTTGTGTATTCCAGGCTGGTCTTGAACTAGTTATATAATTGAGACAGCCCTTGAAATCTTTAAATTCCTGCCTTAACTCCCAAGTGCTAGAATTACATCTGTGAGCCACCATCCTATCTTGGTACATTCAATTTTAGTTTATTTATTCTCATTTCTATACATTATTAATTCTAGAATTATAAGTTAAATTATTTATCACATTAATCATTAAGTGCTTCTGTTGGATATCAAGCAACTATGCTATTCTTAAAAAGTTGCTATGGATAATCATTTATGTATTTTTCCATTACCATTAGCCTTAGAATGTGTTTTTGTTTTTTTTTTTGGGGGGGGGGTTGGTTTTGGTTTTTCAAGACAGGGTTTCTCTGAGTAGCTTTGGAGGCTGTCCTGGACCTAGCTCTTGTAGACCAGGCTAGTCTCAAACTCACAGAGATCCACCTGCCTCTGCCTCCCAAGTGCTGGGATTAAAGGCATGTGCCACCACTGCCTGTCTAGAACATTTTCTTTAGAAGACTTTATAACACACTTTTTGATCAATTTTTCATTGTCTTAGAATTACTTTCAGGAACTCTCGTTTTTCTAATTATGTCATTGTTTCCGCAAACAATTAGTAGAACACTTAGAAATAGCAGCTGGAGAGGTAGTTCACTGTATAGTCTTTGCCTTGCAAGCATGAAGACATGAGTTTAGATTCCTAGAACTCAGGTTAAAAGCTGGATATCCCAGTGGGCATTTGTAGGCTCATTGCTGAAGTGTAGAGCCAGGTGGAATCCAGGGGTTCACTGGCCTTCCAATCTAGACAAAAGGGCATGTTCAGGTTCACTGAGAGATCCTGTCTCAGAAAATAAGGTGGTGAAAACAATAGTGTAAGATACCCAGTATAAGGCGCTAGTTTATACAACCATGCACCCATATGCAAGCACACCCAAATGCACATGTGCACACACAATATGCATATACACCATCACTCCACAAAACACAAAAGAAAAGAAAGCATAGCATAGTCTTACCATCCAATTGGTAATTCATTCAAATTTGAAGGTAGCTAACATGTTGCATCTTTGTGCAGCCGTTCCCGTTCCCCTTTTCTGTAACACCCCATGAAAGACTCCTATACATTTTGAAGGCTACAGAAAATATGATGGTAGTTCTATAACATCAGGCTTTCTTCATAAAATTAGGTTGGTGCTCCACAGGTGTCTTAAATTGAATGGAATTTAAAAATATGTGCCTCGAGTTTCTGATAGATAATGAAAGAGGACGAAGCTCAATCTTAAATTGGCACATCAGTTATTTATGACCATGTACACTTTAAATTTATCAGTTGATTTCAACCTCGATTATATGCAGGGAACCAAATTCTGCTCACTACAGGATCTAAAAAGAAATACAGGAGACTCGAGTCAATCTCTAATTTCAGCTAAACAATGAAAGTTTCTGTGGGAAATTATGTCAAATACGGAATCTAAGATCTGCTCAAACTAAAAAGTGCTTGCTTGAAAATCAATTAGCTATATTCTTAGTTTGCATTAAGACCTATACAATATTTTTCCAGATATATGTTTTCAAGGTTTTCTCAAAGTCTTTTAATGGCTTAAGTTTCTTATATGTTACAAAATCACCAGCTATGGAGTTCTTTGTTGACCTTCAATTGCTCTTGCTTTTATTTTCATTTAATACTGAACATTTATCCCAAACAAAGCATTGAGAGATTTAGGAAACTATTTTGCTTAGAGATGACTGTTTTGCACTGGTAGTTCCCTACTAAGTCTATTTCTACAAATGCACTAAATTGCAATATTCAAAAGAATTTTGTGTGGGCTACAAGATGGTACAGCTGGTAAAGTTGCTTGCAGCCAATCCTGACCATGTGAGAACAATCCCCTAAACTTACACAAGAACTCTCTCAAGTTGACCTCCTACTGCAGACACTCACCATCCACTCCCCACAAATGAATTTAATTTTTAAAAAAGGCAAAAGAAAGAGTAAGCAGTACATGGAGTAGTCTCATCTCTGCTGAAGCAGAGCTCTGCAACTGAAAAAAAACAAAACAAGAAAAACAGAAAAATGTTAGGAAAATGAAATAAGAAACAAAAACAAGCTGCAAGGTGAGTGAGAGATGATTAAAAGCTTTCTGAACCTCATCAGCTACTGTAATAACATGGAGCAGAAGCTGCATCTCTGTCGAAGCAGAACTATGAAACTGAAAAAAAAAGAAAAGAAAAAACGGAAAAAATTGTAAGGAAAAAAGATATAAAAACAAGTCTCACTAAGATAGAAAGATAGGTGCGTTAGGATTCAAAGCTTTCTTGAACCTCATCAGCTACCCTAATAACCTGGAGCAGTCTCATCTTCGTTGAAGCAGAGCTCTGAAACTGCAAAACAAACAAACAAACAAAAAACAAACAAACCAAAAAATGAAAAAAGATACAAAAACAAGGCAGGCTCATGAAGAAAGCAAGAAGAGGTGCTGTAGGATTCGAAGCTTTCTGATCCTCACCAGCTACCATAATAATGGGGCATCTTCATCTCTGTCGAAGCAGAGCTATGAAACTAAAAAAAAAAAAAAAGAAAAAAAAAGAAAAAAGAAACAAAAAGAAACGAAAAAGGTACAAAAACAAGCGTCACGCAGATAGAAAGATAGGTGCGATAGGCGTCGAAATTTTCTGAACCTCATCAGCTACTGTAATAACGTGGAGCAGCCTCGTCTCTGTCGAAGCAGAGGTCTGAAACGGCAAAAAAATAAAAAAAAAGAAACAAAAAAGAAAAAAATGTAAGAAAAACAAGAACAAAGATACAAAAACAAGCCTCAGAAGATAGATGGGTGCCACAGGATTCGAAACTTTCTGAACCTCATCAGCTACTGTAATAACGTGGAACAGCCTCGTCTCTGTCGAAGCCGAGGTCTGAAACGGCAAAAAAAAAAAAGAAACAAAAAGGAAACAAAAAAGAAAAAAATGTAAGAAAAACAAGAACAAAGATACAAAAACAAGCCTCAGAAGATAGATAGGTGCCACAGGATTCGAAACTTTCTGAACCTCATCAGCAACTGTAATAACGTGGAACAGCCTCGTCTCTGTCGAAGCAGAGCTTTGAAACGGCAAAAAAATGAAACAGGAAACGAAAAAGAAAAAATGTTAAGAAAACCAAGAACAAAGATACAAAAACAATCCTCACAAAGACAGAAATATAGGTGCGATAGGATTTGAAGGTTTCTGAATCTTACCAGCTTCCTTTAATAACGTGGAGCAGCCTCGTCTCTGTCGAAGCAGAGGCTCTGTCTGAAGCTCCAAAAATGAAAGACACAGGCTGCCTTGAGAGAGCCAGTGAGGCGAGATAAGATCCGAAGCTTTGTGAACCTCACCAGCTACCGTCAATAAGCATCCATTACGTCAGCCATCTGTTTCCTGTCCCCCATTTTGTAGGCCCCCATTTTACCTGCCACGCTGTGGTGAGCTTGCCGTTTCTCGCCTCTCGGGCCTGCCAGACGGCCGCTACTTGTTGCCAGTGTTGTGGTGGACTGTGAGCCCGGACGGCCTTCTCGAAGTCCTAGTGCTTTAGAGATCCCCACCGTTCGTTCCCCATCCACCGGAGCAAACACCCTTTAAAATGGCGTCCCCAAAGAGCAACTCAGACATCGCCGAGAATTCTGAGGGTAAAACCCAGCTTAGCTGCTCGGATGAGACTTCGGGTGGCCTGGCGGACATAGAGACAGTTTCCCATAGCGAATGCCAGGGGCCAGAAGTGAGTCCTAGAGCAAGCAGTGCCACGGGAGTGAGCAGGGTTTCCTGCCCTCGCGGTACTGACCTCGAAAATCCTGGTGATGGTTATCAGGGACACAGTGGTGACAAAGATGGCCATGTTCCCGACGACGAGGGTCACGAGGATGATGAGGGCGCTGACATTTTAATCAGCACGGTGGGAAGCTTGGTGAGCCAGCAAGACTTGCAGGGAGGTGAGGCTGCTGCAGACGAGCAGGGCGCAGACGAGCAGGGAGCACGAAACTTCTACTGCCACCGAGAGGCGGAGGCCTGGGAGGATGTAGATGAGCAGGAAGTAGAAGACCACTTCCGCCTCCCAGACTTGCAGGCCCGTGAGGTTGTGTCTGAGAGGGACGAAGGGCCCGAGGCACATGAACAGTCCAGTGCGGGCACCAGTGAGCTATGTGATACTGAACAAGATCGATTGCTACAGGAATGGTTGGCCCTCGAGACCTCTCCTCTCCCGAGACCTCGATGGAAGGTCCTTGATGCGCTGCGCGAAAGGCAGCTGGGTTCAAGTGCCCGCTTTGTTTATGATGCCTGTGGGGCAAGACTATTTGTGCAGCGCTTCTCCCTCCAGCATGCTTTTGAAGGCCATGACGGATGTGTCAACACTGTGCATTTTAACCAACATGGCACCCTGCTGGCTAGCGGCAGTGATGACCTAAAAATGATCGTGTGGGACTGGCTTCATCAACGACCGGTACTGAACTTTGTTAGTGGCCACAAAAATAATATCTTACATGCTAAATTCCTCCCTAATTGTAATGATGCCGTCCTAGCCATGTGTGGCCGTGATGGGCAGGTACGCCTTGCACAGCTGTCTGCTATGCCAGGCACTCAGATGACTAAACTTTTGGTGAAGCATGAGGGAGGATCTCATAGATTGGCTTTGGAGCCAGACTCTCCCTTTAGGTTCTTAACTTCAGGGGAAGATGGGGTTGTTTTCAGTATTGACCTCAGACAGGCCTGCCCAGCTTCAAAGGTGGTGGTAACCAAAGATTCTGATAAGAAAGTGGGGTTGTATTCAATCTTTGTGAATCCTTCCAATTTCTACCAGTTTACTGTAGGTGGGCAAGATCAGTTTGTGAGAATTTATGACCAAAGGAAAATTGATGAGAATGTCAACAATGGAGTACTCAAAAAATTCTGCCCACATCACCTTTTAGGTTATGATTACCCAGCATATATCACCTCTGTGATATATAGTTATGATGGCACAGAGCTCCTGGCTAGCTACAATGATGAAGATATTTACATTTTCAACTCTTCTGATAGCGAAGGAGCTCAATATGCTAGGAGATATAAAGGGCACAGAAATAATACCACAGTAAAAAGTGTAAATTTCTATGGCCCCAGAAGTGAATTTGTGATGAGTGGTAGTGACTGTGGGCATATCTTCATTTGGGAAAAATCATCCTCCCAGATTGTTCAGTTCTTAGAGGCAGATGAAGGAGGAACAACAAACTGTATTGATCCCCATCCTTACCTACCTGTGCTTGCATCCAGTGGCCTAGACCATGAAGTCAAGATCTGGGCACCCACAGCTAAATCTTCCACAAACCTTACAGGGTTAAAGAATGTGGTTAAAATTAATAAACTGAAACGAGATAGTTTTAGCTTGCAAAACACTTCCCTGTTTGAGAACCACATGCTTTGGTTCCTCATGAGTCACCTGACACACACAAATTACCAACACAGTTGGAGAGGTATTAGATTTGAAGTTGGAGGAGGAGGTGCCAGTGACTCTTCTAGTATGTCTGAGGAGGAACCAAACCGAGAAGAATCACAGTGCCGCACATCCTAGGCTATGTCCTGAAAGTGAATACCACTTCAGTACATGGCACTTAAAAAAATTAGCTTGAGTAGTAGGTTTTTGTTTGCCTCCTGTTTGCAGTGTTTTATAAGAGTATTTCTTTTTTCCCCTTTCCTTTACCTGATTTTGTTACACCTTGATAGCCCTTATATTATATGATTGTAGAAGTATAATAGGCCTCCTTTGTTCTCTCATAGTTAAATAAGGAATTGCCTGAAAATTTGGTGAAAGATTAGTAGTTTTATAAGATCTTATTTATGTTCCAAAAATTGTTGAATTTTTAAAAAGTATTCAGTAATTTAATTCTGAATATTAAAGTTTTTATTGTAAATTCTTAAAAAATGTTTTTGCTCTAAAATAAAGTAAAATGAAATAAATTATAGTTTTGTTATTTTACTACCAATCCTTGGTCATGCACACACCACACACTACTTAGGCTTTTTTCGACAAAAAAGGGAAAAAAAGGATAAAAAAAAATTTGTTTCTAATAAGATAAGGAATTATATAACTTTGTTTTTTTTCACATTTTCTGAGCCCACAATAATAATATGGAATTATTTAAGCATGTTAAAACTGGAAAGAAATTTTGTTTCTAATAAGATAAGGAATTATATAACTTTGTTTTTTTCACAGTTTCTGAACCCACAATAATAATATGGAATTATTTAAGCATGTTAAAACTGGAAAGAAATTAGATTAAATCACTAAGTTGTTTAATCACCATTTCAGTGTTTTTGAAATGCCATAGTTGAAAAATACTGGGAACTAGCATTAGTCCAAACCAAGCCCTCTGAATGTGGGTGCCAGCTAGGAGGCCAGGGCAGTCTATGGGACCTCTAACAGTGGAGCCAGTCTTTAACACTAGTGCACTAATGGAGTTTGGGAGCGCATTCCCTATGGAGGGATACTATTGCAGCCCAGATAGAAGAAAGAGGGCCTAGGCCCTCCCTCAAATGATGTGATAGACCTTAATGGTCCCCTGTGGAGGGTCTCACTATCCTTGGGGAGTGGATGGGGGTTGGTTGGGGAGGTTGGTGGGAAACATGGGAGTGGGAGGATTGATACGTAAATAAGAGATCTTCTAAAATTAAAAAGGATAAATACTACAGGATTATCTTCCAAACAGTCCTCCTGGGTTAATCTTTTTCTATGCTTCTAACCAAATTTTAATAATTCCTTTATGTTGAAACTATAACAGCTGCAATAACAGATGGTTTGTATTTTTATAAAACAAATTGATATAAAACAATTCTCAGAATGCTTTTAATAGCCAGAGATATGGGTCAGTGGACTAAGAGTACTGGCTGCTTTTCCAAAAGACTCAGGTTTGAGGGAGTCCCATCACCCACATGGTGGCTTACTGCTGTCTATAACTCCAGTTCAAGACGATGCAACATCATCTTCTGGCCTCTGGAATTAGGCATGCACAGAGTGCTGCACAGACACACATGCAGACAAAATAAATATTTTTAAGTCAGTGAAAATACTTTTAGGCATCCATGCAGTGTTAAAACGGCAATATAGCTTAGAAGAGGTTAAATTGGTTTTAAATTATTTTCAGTTTTATTGAATGTAAATTTGGTATAGTGAGTGACCAAATTCTATTACTTTTATTTCTCATTTTGTGTGTTATTTGGGTAAAGGAATGCAGAAGATCAACTTCCTCTAAATTTTGTTTAGTTATATCACATGGTTCTTTGCAGACAATTGTTTAAATGAAGGATGTCATTAAACCTCCAGACAATGGCTATCCTTCCATAATACTTCCTGAGCTGGGTATTATGTCTCCTCTCCTGGGAGCATGTAGAGACACTTTCATAATAAGATACTTTGGAATGGAAGTTACCTTGAACAAAGTTCACTGTTCACTGAGACTTGGAATTAAAGTTAAGTGCCTGGGGACCTAGAAATCTGAAGAAGCTGCTACATGTTGGCTGTCAAAAAGGGTTAGCAAAGATCACAAAAGAAACTTGCCTCCAGAAAGAAGTGGGTCTGAACTTTGCAGTGTGGTTTAAAATAGGGTCTGGGGAGAAGTATCAGTGGGGTAAAGCTCTGGGAGTGCAAACATGAAGATGAGTTCACATACCTGGAACCTATATAAAAGCTAAATGGGCTTGAGAGGTTGCCTCTGTAATCTTGAGCAGGAGAAGCAAAGACAAAATCTTTGGAGCAGCCTAGCTATCCAGACTTGTACAAACGGTAATGCCCGTATTCAGCAAGAGACCTTGTGTCACCATATAAAATGGACTGCTGTTGAAGTTGCCTAATAACAGCTTTGGTCCTTAATATGCAAGTGCCTGCAAGTGCATTCACACAATACACACATACATATGTAAAAATAAATGAGAGGACATGAAGAGAGTTATTAACTAGGACCCAGTTTGGAGCATCCTTTAAAAATGAATAGTATGTATGCTAACAATATTACGATTTCTGGTGACTGACAGAATGATAAAAAGGAAAACTAGTTCTTTCCTACTTGCTGCATGCAAAAAGATCTTTCTATAGAGAATTTTTACTCTTAAAATCTTTCAGGGTTCCCTGAATTGATCTAGGATTGTTTTGTCATACATATTTGGCAAAAGAATTATTTGAAAGATAAAGTAGCAGCAAATATGCCAGGCAAGGTAGCAATACTTCATGTACATTGTTGCCCATATGTGGGCTTACTCTTGTTTGTGTTGGGTATTATTTTAGCCCACAGATACTTCAGATCCCTTCCACATTTCCTTTTGTAAGGAGTGCTTTCTTTTGCAGGGCACCTAGGCCATCTCATATTGACCTGTGTTTGTGGAGGCAATGAGAGGTCAGCCCCCGTTCCAGGCTTTCCTTAATGTTCCAGATAATCCTCATGGATCCCCCACATATATTGGCTCCCCAAAATTTCGAAACCACTTCTTACACAATGTGTTGCTCACTTCAGTTTCTACTATCCGAACCAAAACCAAAACAAAACAAAAATGTATTAAGACTACTTAGCTAGGGCCTGGAAGGTTGGCTCTGAGCTTTATAGCACCCGTTGCTCTTGCAGAAGGTCTGGGATCAATTCCCAGCAGCACGTGGTGGCTAGCAAACATCCACAACTCCAGTTCCAGGGAATCTGATGCTATATTCTGTCCTTTGTGGGTACATACTTAAATTCAGTGCAAACACATCCCATACGTACATGTAGGAAAACATAATACAGATAAAATAAAATTTATTAAAAACATTTGGTGCTTAGCCACACACAATTGGCTTAAACACAATTGGAAACACCTTGTTAAAAATGTCTCACCCACAATGTTTCTGTTACTCTGATTGAAGCTGAGCTGTGCAACCTCCCCTCCCCTACACACTTGGGGGATAAGTTTCTAAGTTAGTGGGATTTGAATATTTAACCATTTGGGGGAATTAATTAGCTGTAAAGAAGTTGTATATATATACATACATACATACATACATACATACATACATACATACAT